GTTGTAACAAAGAATGTCGCAAACTGTGTACTATAAGTTACAAGAAGTACTACCTAAACTTGGTGACGGGAGGGCGCGTGACGTGACCGGAAGTGAGGTGGCGTATTCCTTATTTACACAGGCTTCGCGCCACCCCACCCCCTACCTTCAGCCTTCCGGCCCTACATAGTTTTGATTATACGGCCTGATTGTTTTGACTTGTTGTTAGTTTCTGGGCCGCGCCCGCTGCTTTAGATAATAAAGAAACCTAAATAAGCCTCCGCGAAATAAACGTAATTTTAGTCCGTAAACAGTTGCTCAGAGTTCAATACGCTGCTTTACCGCCGCCGCCGCCATGGCCTCGCACTGCGCCGCGCTAAACTTTGCCGACACTATGCCGGAGCTTTGTGTAGGTAAATTGGCCCGCGTCGGAGAGAGCAGGTAAGGTTATCACCAAAATTGTATACTACAGGAACCGAGTAAACAAAATTTTAAAATAACCTGAAAATAAGCTATTCTATAAATCGTCAACAAACATGTGTAACTGTAATTTAATAACTTTTGAATATATGTATTAAGTACAATGTCGATTTTATATTTTGTAGTTTAAAAAATAACAAACATAATGTTACACATTTTGTTATAAATTAATTTGAATCAAATACAACTAATTTGTGCACAAACAAACAAGCGAGGCTGTTTACTCAGGTTGTTTGGTCTATACATAAGGGTGTTTGCAGAGGAGGCTAGACTTTGCTAAAGGTATTAGCGACAATGGAAGCCTGCGCCCGGGCGTCGCGCGCTCACTTTACACAATGGAGTTTGGGCTGAAGTGATTAGTTGTGGGCCTAATTCGCAATGCGGCTGTTACGAACAAAAAGCAAAGCTGTCTTGGTATTTGTATTTGTTAATTTCACCGATAAACTATAAGCCTGAATATATATTTCTTGAATCATGTCTATTAGCATAAATTGATTTTGTGAATGGAGTTTTGCTTTGAATCTTAACACGAAAATGTTATTCTATATAATGGTAAATGTTGGTTGATAACCGACAAAGTGTTGCTGAGGATTAATTATTCGATTTCATTGCGGGTATGAGTTTGTAGTGTTGTGTAGTGTCGGACACGCGGCGGTCGACGGCGGCGAGTGTTCAATGTCCACTCATGTTTGCGAGCCCGGGAGGTGCTTAGCGTCCATTGCCATGATCCCCGCTGACCGCAGGCCGCTAATACACGGATCGCCACCGAATCGAACTGATGTTGGAAACTCTGTATTCGATTATATTGTAGGACTATCAGTTCATTGATGCATTATTTATACTATTGCAATGAATACGTGTCGACATTATACATAACATTGATTTCTGAATTCCTTCTGTTACTAATTTTAGGTGTGCAGACCGTGTCACGTCACGTGCACGCGCCACTATCGTCATCCCGCTGTCCCGCCTCTGTCCTGCAGTTATTCCACTATTGAACCGCTGCTACCTGCATATATATTATTCCTTGTTGCCTCGTTCAATAATCACTCCGATCCATTGCCGCAGGGTTGCCGTTACATTTCCTGAACATTTGCAAAACGATGGAGTCTCCAAAAAGCGGAGCCAAATGTCATTTCTTTCACACATAAATAATTTTTAATTGGTAACATTTAAATGAAAAGCCAGTGAATATTAAATGGTTTGTTAAACTTTGAATGATTTTGTAATAAAACTTATGGAAAACACTATGCCAATGTTTTTAATTGAAGTCAGAAATATGTAACTATTAGCTGTCGCCCGCGAATCCGCCCGCGCGGAATTTAATAAAAGTTAATAAGTAGCCTCTTTGTTTTTTCCAGATAATGCCAAATTTCAGTGACATACGTTCGGCTGTTCCGGAGATACCTTCAAAGAAACAACGATCTATCCATGTAAACATCGCATGTATAATAGTAAGTGATAGATTTAAGAAACATAGCGATTTTGTCAGGGAAAAATCTATGTCTAGTTATGTGATGTTTTGTTCTAGCTTTCTCACACTTATTTATGTTAACTGGTAATGAGCTCCAATGCGTGCATTCTCTAAACATAACCACAAGGTAATTAATTACAATTCAGAATTCACTTAACATTCTGAATACGATTTATCGCTGTTTCAACGAAACGTGAAATGCTCATTGTGCAGCTGGAGAATGATATCTCGCAGCGGGGACGCACTACGTTACATGTGTCAGCTGAACAATTATCTAAAGCTTAGCTCCTTGCATTAAGATATCAATCACCCGCAGCAGCCGACAGTTGTTTACTGACGCTGCATTGGACAGAGTAACTCCGCGCAAATCCGCTCACATAACATCGCTTCATACAAACACTTCACACAACAATAACCAGCGCTGTAATCAGAGCTCATGGCCCGCTAACTGCGCCCCGCAGCCCTTCAATAAAACTGTCACCCTCTGCATCCTATTCGCACCATCCGGTACTTTATCATTTTTTCGATCAGCGCCTGCGGGCTGCCTGCCTGCCTGTCGGCGTGCCGGCCTGGCGCTGCGGGGTAGCGGGGTGCGGGATGCGGGGCTTGGGGGTCGGCTGACAGCTTTCCACTTGGGATTAACTTTGTATTGCGGCGAAGGATAAAAAAAATAGGATTTTGAAAGACGGGTCCGCGTACCCACCTCGGATGTTGTTAAGTGTTAGTTACTTTATTGGCGTTTTTGTTCGCTGCCATGAATAGTTATATTGGTAAGGGTATCGCTAATACGGGGCTTTGAGTTGCAGACGAAAAGATTAAAATGAAGGATTTTTATAGTTTGAAGCAGTTTAATAGGCGGTAAATACATGTTTTCTCACTTAACGTACGTGTGTAACAGTGAAGCTCAAATCCCATAGGGTGTAATGTGTCGGTGCCAGTCGGAGCGCAGTGCTCTGTCGGCCGGCTCACTTGCTATTTCTCAACGTTTATGTATCTCTCAACGTTATTCTCCTCTATAATATTGATAACAATATCAATAACAAATCTTAATAAATCCGCTATTTCACATACATACATACATACATACACCCCTCACAAATCATCAAATGGCCAACAAAGACACACTCTCTCTACATACATGTGGTCGATTTAGTTCAATTCCTTTTAGCTCAATGAAAATTGAATGTTGCGGAGTATCGAAATACTTTTGAATTTGTTATAAATAAATAAAATATAAGATATATTGTAGGAGGCTGAAAAACATTAGGCGATGTGCAAGATAATAATTGAAAGCTATATATTGAAGACACAATAAAGCCGGTGACACATCGTGCGATATATTGTCACCTCCGCTACCCCCCGCCACCCCACCCCGCCATCAATATTTCACAATAATGACTTAGGTAAATAGCGGATAAGCTCGTAAAATATGAAATTTAAACAATGAATTGGTTGGATATCCAACGTGCCCGCGTCCCCGCACTGTCAATAGAATTATTTACGAGCGCGTTATTTTGGATTGGATCGCTCCAATTCGAACCCATCATGAATATTTCTCCGCTAACAATGACGTCATTAATAAATAACGTCGATCATACTGACAATATCGATACGCACAAATCCCGAGCAACATCACGAGCACCGAGTCGACATCAACACAATAAAACTGGTTGGATTTCAGTTTAATTATGACCGCGAACTTACAATCTAAAACCAGATTCTGCTTTTGTTTAATCTCCCACTCACACTTCTGAAGATGACAAGTGCGGATAGTTTTAGGTAAATATTCTGCCATTCGTATTAGTACTATTCTATACTTACAAGAAATAATGACAAATGAAAACAAAGAGATCGCACGTTGCCGTCGTCTTCGTCGTCGTCGCTAGGGAGAGAGCGTCGCGTCGTTCTGTTAATGTGGTGCCACACTATTAGTGACGCCGCGCCGGGTTCGAGCCGCCAGAGCATCGCATCGCTAAGTACACAAATAGAATTGCAAGAATACTATACTTGGATTACGGAAGTTTATGCTGTACCTAAATTAAGGCAAAATTAATTTACTTTCATGACTTCTTTCTCGCGGGTGCCACAAATATCAAATTGATATCCTTTTCGTAGGACCCAAAGTTTATTTTTAGTTTTATTTATCTTTAGACTATCACGTTGCGGTGTTAAAATAAATGTGTTAAAGATACAGATACAGCAGAAATTACACGACGCAGCGGACACATCCCGCGGGACGCGTTCTCGCGCTCAACAAATATTGATAGAACTTGATCGGGTTAGCTGCTGACGCCGTAGATGAGGTAAACACTCCGGCCGGCGCACTGCTCGTCCCGAGTGTCCGGCCTACCACCACAACTATACAACAATATTAAAAGTTTGTCAACAACTTTAAAGTTTCTACAATACTGTGCATGACAGTAGATTTCCACTGGACCGGTTGTGACTGAAGCGATGATTGAAACCATATAACAACTTCACAGTCAAGTGAATAATATTTTATTATTTAAAACTTTCAATCTTTTAGGATCTTATCCATTAATTAATAACTTGATTACAATGTGATGATAATAATATCAACCTTGACCTTGGAAAGCGCGCTGTGCCGCCGCGCGCTGCCGCCGCGCGCTGCCGCACGTCACCGCGGCGTCGTGGATGTAATAACTTCATGCGGATTAAGAATAAGCATCTATGAATGAAGTCGGCCGAGGCGAGACAAGGCGGCGGGCAGCGAGACGTGACGCGGGACGTGACGCGGGACGTGACACGTGACGTGATGTGATGTGTGCGGCGAATCAATTGTCACGCTGTCGCGAGCTGTGGACTGGCGGCACGAACGCCGCGCTCTCACGGCTTCACGACCGACGTACACCGTATACGCCTTATTTACGTTTTTATATACAAAGATAATATTTACCTTAATGCCAAGAGAGATTTAGAAACATCTAAATCTAAACTTTTAAAATAAGTCTTATTTTAAATTTTGCTATTTAATTTTCTATGGGTAATTTTTGAGTTTGAAGTACAACTGGCTTAGGAAACAAGTAATATATGTCACGTCACTGACCTGGTGGACATCCGCAATGGCCGTAGTCGCTGATGCTGCGCTGGCGGTGCGGCCGCGGGGTGCGTAAGTCGCGCCGCAGTCGGGCTGCGGGCTGCAGGGGCTCCAGCACGGCGCTGCGCAGCGCGGCGTGCTGCTCCTCCAGCAGTGACAGCCGGTCCTGCAGCCCCTGCTGCCGGTACAGGCTGTACCCGCTGGACACCAGGCTCATGGCGCACGCACACCACAGCACCGCACAGTACGCCCACGGGTCCGCCGGGCAGCGATCCTCGCATCGCTCTGCGGCCTTTTTGCTCTCCCGTCGTACTTCTTTCTTCTCCTTGCTCGTCTCTTTCTTCTCTTTTTCCGCGAGCCTCACGCCCGAGGGCAGCTTTCCTCCTATTTTCAGTATCATCTTCATCTATGCCGGTCTCATGAGATCAATATATCGAAGCGGATCGTAAGAGGGAATTTGATGAGGGTTCCCATGGCTAGCACGCTGCGTGGACCCCAGGGACGGACCTCATCATCGGTGCGACGAATTCCGGCGGTCAGGTTGTCTCCCCGGTCACACGTTATTATGATTAAAGTGGACAACAGGTTGCTTTTTATGTTTTAGAACGTGAAAATTAATTGTTAAATCTAAGATACGATCGGTAAATAATTCGTTAAAGTTTGAATTCAAGGTAGGATATTCGGACGCTATCGTGTTTAAGTTCGCAGCGGAGTGACGCGCGGTGAGCACGAGCCAGACAACGTGTACGGTCGGCGGTCGGTTCGCTACTGAGGGGTTGAGAGCAAACGCTCGCTGCTCTGCTCCACCACGCTACTGCTTATCCACTGAGGCTGTAGCCGTAAGCCGTATCGGACTCGCAGGACAGTGTCCTGCGCCAGGATCACCAAAACGTTTGGTTTACGAGCTTTATTAAATTTAGGTTTTAATAGAAAAGGTAAGTAAAATAGTGCTTAATGTTATCACAGGCGGTGTAGTTATCGATACAGATATAAAAATAATTTGTAATATATTTTTCTAGTGTGCTGAATAAATGAACACTTGGCGCAATACAATTCTACTTACCGATGCAATATCAGGTACTTTTTAAATAGAAAAAAAAAATTACTCTTACATTGTACTCGTGTGTTAGTCGTATACAAAAGTAGTGTTATCGAGGGATCCTTGGTGGCGGCAGTTGTCGCAGCTTAGGGCGGCTTGGGACGGTGCGATTTAGGGGCCGCGGACTTCGCACGCAGACGACGATCGATACACATAACATATCTGCAGCCAGCACAAATCACTTTGGGCAATGGGCTGCCGACCACTTGGAGACGCATCCGCTGCTTTCAGGCTACATGGAGCTTAAGAATAAGGAATGTAAGAATAAGGTAACCATCGTTACTATGCAGTCTTGTTAATTTTGGCAGGTACCGCAGAAAAATCACCACTTTTTTCCCTATATTATAAAGATTTATTACAGGTCCATCGACCTGAATTTTCTGTAAATAGAAAGAAACCTGTGATATCAAGTATAATATTAAAATACATTATTGCCCTCGAAATATAGAAGATGCATTTGTTATAGCATTATACGTATGTGTACATACGTACATAGTTGTAGCGCGGTGCGAGTGCGACACGCCTGAACATAAATCACTAATGGTTTAAAAACGTTGACGTGTCTTTCGACGTATCACTTTAGGGCTTTTAACTCCGTTACTTTAACGAGGGGAGCGGGGCGGGGGAGTGCTGGAGGGCGCCGCGCCGCCCATATCTCCATAAAGCGGGGCATCATCCTGCGCGACCGCCACACTTAACTTATCTTCCATAAACTAACTTTATTGAAGTCATAAGAATACTTTGTACTGACAATAATCACCTTTTGAGAAATATTGTTATATGATATAGCGAGCGGGCGAGAGTTGTAAACGTCGACACATCACCAATTTAAATATCATGTTGCCTATAAAAGAGAATCGAGAACCCAAATTTGAAACGAAATTGTCTTCCGTGACCTAAACATCGACCCTCAGAAGATCTGTATCGACATTAATTAAATTTGTTAGGAATGAAAAAGGTCGAGATGTTTTTTAAATGATAGAGGCATAGTCTATTAATCTCTTTAATAGAGTCATTAAGAAGGCGGCGGCGAGGCGAGTGCGGCGCCCGAGCCATGCGGACTCCCCGCCGCCCGCGGGCATGGGGCCTACCTTTAAGATGAAGAACTGCTCCTCATAACATTTGGAGATATCTTTGATGTGACACACATCTCAATATTAAAATAATGAATGCTGCATACGTGGGACTACTCAGCTCGGAATTGTTCACAGCACTTGTATCTCTTAATGTCACTCCGCAATGAATGATATTGCAATTCGATTAAATTATTATTGTTCGTCGAAGATTCTAATGGTATACCGTATACTACTACCTACATACCTACATACCTACCTACTTACATATACTTTACGAGCAAAATATATGAACATAATGCTTGCTTTCAATTATCGTTAAAAAGGAATTTGACGCGGGAAATGTGAAAATGTGAAGGATTTGCTCCCAACGCTGCTGAGAGACATCAAAATGAAGTTTTATGATAATTGTATAATTACATACATTGTACTTATGTACTTGCTGAGAATTTTAATAATACCATGGTGTGATTATATTTGTTGTATATTTCTTGTAAACAATTCTTGTCTCTAATATAACTTTATACACGTTTGTTGCATTGTTGTGTTATAGAATACTCGTACGAGACTTGACAACGTAATCTGTGTGTCTGCACTAACCGTTAATAACGACGAAGCTATTAAAACTGAAAATGTATGCAAAAGTGTATTTTAGCTGCAGCTTTGGGTTTTAAACGACTATTTACAAAGGTCTCACTGTGAAATACGTATTAAGTAAAAAAAATACACGAAATCCCAGCGCGTAAATTCGGTTTAAGTATTGGGCAGAATTAAACCTGCGCCCCACCCCGCGCCCCTCGCCGCTCGCCCGCTCCCCCCCACCCCGCGCGGTCGCTCTCATTAATATGTTAAAGCCCTCCGAAAACGGTCCATTGGCGAGGCAATGTGCAGCATCCGCTCCGCAGACAAATAGCACCAATTAAAACTAGATTGTTGTTATTTAGCGGACACACTTGCTTAAATTAAATGTAAACTTTTGCGCTTTATCAGCACACCGAGTACAGTGTGTGCACGCCGACGTGTCCGTGGGCGGCTTACCTTGTGTCATTTGCTCCCTGCGGCGCTTTAAATATGTAAAGCTATGGCCTAGGTTTTCCCTCGAGTTGCAAAGTTTACGGTCTTGAATAAAATAAAACTAGAAGTTCGGTTAATGATTATCACTGTGGCGCGGGCGTCGAGGGAAATCTGGTAAACTTTACGCGGTTTTGTGACGCTTAGACGTTACATTATTCAGAGCTTTATGTGGTTGTCGCGCCGACAACTCGCTTGATTTATTATATCCGCGCTTTTGTGCCCTCAAAATATGGACTCCTCTTTTAAATATAAGAAAATAGGTTTTCCCCCCCTCGTGCAGCATTGGCCGGCCACAAGGAGAGGACTGCTATGAGCTCTTAAACCTGCACTAACTCTAGCTTTCTCTGAGATAAATCTGCTTCAAGTATGTATCGACTTCTCTCCCTACTTTATAGTGCTAAAGTTAAAAACTAACTGTTATCAGTTTAGCTGAATTATTTAATATTCTAAAGCTATTTGTAGATATACTCGTAGTGTATAAATACTCGTACATACATACCGGTATAAACCAAAGTGATTGCTGCACATCAATCAATGAATTTATTGCTTATGCGATATATTTAAAGACTTACTTTTGGCGTGGCGTATGAAGCCGCAAGGAAAATGAAAGTGAATTAACCCTAGCTCAAATCGAAACGGTTTACAAGTTGTGCTGCGGAAGCGGAGTGCGGAGTGTGGGGAGCGGGGAGCGGGGAGCGGGGAGGTTGCGGCTGCAGAGATTACCACTTCCGCTTGTTTTATGATTTGTCATCGCTCGACAGCGGCAGCGGACAGCGGACAGCGGGCAGTGTGGCTTCACTCGTCCGGAACTGACCCTAAATTTACTCAGTGCGAAGTTTCCAGGAATTCCAGTAACCTCATTTTCAACTATTACTTTTGTGGCTATGATGACGACTTTATAACTTTTATTATAACATAGAAATTTTATGGTTATGCAAGCTATTACTTATATTTTAAATTAAGGTTATTTTAAAAGCTTATATATCTCATGTAAGGAGCACAGGCGCACCTTTTGGCAAAGGTGATCACAATTTGTTCACAACAGCCCACGCGGCAGGAGCCGGCTCCGGCTACACGTGGATTTTATTACCAAAAACGATTACGTGACCGGAGTACATATTAATATTAATTACAAATAATTAAAGCATATTTTACGTATTTCAATAGTCAGAAGTGCAAGTAAGAAGGTAAGTTTTCCATAACTGACACCGGTGATCATTGTAAAAGGGAAAATATTCAATTTAGCACTTGCTTAGTTAAATTCAATATTGCGCGCGCATAGTTAATTTGCACGCGGGAAGGTTTAATTGTACGTTAGTGGTGAGGGATATTTAATATGTCTTAGCAAGCATTAGAAGGTTCGTACCCGCGGGCGAAATGTTATGTCGGAGGTTAGGATCGAGTATTCGACATTCAAGCTTTGTATAATATTATAGGAATCGGTATGCGAATACAATATTATTTATAATGCATTGGAACTATTGAAATCTGGAAATGTATTGGATAAATATTAACAAGTTAATAATTAGAACATAGCCTTACTTTGGTGTCGAGTTGGTCGAGGTGTAGGTGATGCCGGGGTGCGGGGGTGCGGGTGTGCGGGGTGAAGAGGCACAGCGCGTTACTGTTATTGCAAATTTTATTAAGGTCACAGTGCGCTCTCACTTTTCTTCATTTCGTAATTATTTCAGTGTTTACGAGATGTGTAAAGAAACCAAATGTCGTACTTTGTTATTTATGGTATAATATATAAGTGGTATTGTAAACACAATGCACGATACGAATACATTTTATTATATATTATGTAAGTAATGTATAATTAATATATCAACGATGGACCTCGCCGCTAGCGAATAAATAAATGTGTGAAGTTGAGAGGAAGTCCAAATGAATTCCAAACTAACAATTGAATTGTGAAGTTGGCGCTGAAGTTGGTGCACATTATCTGACCGCTCGGTGCGGCGACGATGCGGTGGCGAGGCGGCGGCGAGGCGGTAGCGGAGAGGCGGTTTAGCAGCGAGTCATTGAAGCGGTTCGTTTATGGTTATTAATGGAAAATAAAATTGGCTAAACGAAATAACAAATGTGTCAGTAATAAATCCGACAAATATCCGGTTATGATCGCGATGGCTATAGTGAGGTGAGTGGCGGTCGCGTCTCGCCTCTCGCCGCTCATGTGTACACCAGACCAGTTTTATATTAAACTAATAACAAAAAATTCCAATCACTTTGAACTCCTTATATCATAAATATATTTAACAGTGATATCAATAAATTTTCGTTTTAATATCATTTTAATGGCACTGTGGGAATAAAAATGACAATTATTTAGTTTTATTGCGCGCGTACCGCCTAAGGGGCTCAGAGGCAATCTGCCGATTGCCGTTTGCCGGCGCCTTGCTGCTGCTGCGCCGGGTTCCGTCACTATTTATAAAACATGTGAATAAAATGAACATGTTATAAAACATATAAAACATTAAGTAAATCATAGACGTATGTATTTTTTATT